TCTATTTTTGAAATGAAGGACATGGGTGAAGCTAAGTTTATCATTGGTGTGGAATTAATGAGAGACTATCCCAAGAAGCTTCTAGGATTGTGCCAAAAAGCATATATTAAAAGTGTCTTAGAATAATTTTGGATGCACTACTCCAAACCCATTGACACTCCTATTGAGAAGGGTCTAATCTTAAGTCTTGATCAGTGTCCAAAGACATATGAAGAGAAAAAGAAATGAGAAATGTTCTTTATGCTAGTGCAATAGGCAGTTTGTTGTATGCCATATTGTGTACTCGACTAGACATTTATTTTGTAGTTGGTTTGGTAAATCGTTATCAAAGCAACCATGGACCTACTCATTCGCAAACAGTCAAGAGAAGGGTCTAATCTTAAGTCTTGATCAGTGTCCAAAGACATATGAAGAGAAAAAGAAATGAGAAATGTTCCTTATGCTAGTGCAATAGGCAGTTTGTTGTATGCCATATTGTGTACTCGACTAGACATTTATTTTGTAGTTGGTTTGGTAAATCGTTATCAAAGCAACCATGGACCTACTCATTCGCAAACAGTTAAGAGAATCTTGCGCTACCTTTGTGGTACAAGTGACCTAATCCTCTATTATGAAGGATGGGACTTAAGGTTAAAAGGATATTCAGATGCAGACTGGGGTGGCGACTAGGATGAGTCTAAGTCGACCTCAGGATATGTTTTTGCCCTTTGTGGAGATGTCATATCTTGGTATAGTAAAAAGTAAGATTGCATTACTTTATCTACAATGGAAGCGAAGTATGTTGCTAGTTATCTTATTGTACAAGAGGTAATTTGGTTGAGAAGCTTTCAACAGGATCTCAACATTACCCCTAAAGTTGATGAACCTTTAGAAATGCATTATAACAATACTATTGCTATCCAATATGCTCAGGGTCAGAAATTTTATAGGAAAACCAAAATATTAAGAGATGTTATCATTTCGTTTAAAGCCCCATCAAAAAATGGAAAGTTGCTATTAAGTATATATCCATTAACAAAATGGTTGTTGATCCTTTGACTAAGCCTATGCTTATCGATGTTTTTCGGGGTCATGTGAAGAGTTTAGGTTTGTATAGGCTTTAATTTTCGAGTGAGATTTGATACCTAATGAACATATGTTTTTGTGTATTGATCATTCATGAAATAAAAGTTGTTATTTTCTTATGAAATATTCATGAATATAATTGCATGACTAAGCACGTAATAATGTCACCAGGCTTTATGATCGACCTTATCACACGGGTGATCTCCTTAACGCTTGAGTAGGTAAGATAAGATTTAATCATATTGGCATTAAATGTGCAATATGGACCGTTTTTATACTTATG